TTCCTATAGGCTCCAGGCAATGGTCACTGTGGGAAAGAGTCTGAAAAGCAGTTCTCACTCCTCTTTGTGATTTATGCTAGACAGCTCAAGACAGCCTGGCCTGGCCCGCCCCCTTCTTCCCTAAAAAGCAAGGCCCACAAAACTTCATGGTCTCCCCAGCCCTGGGCTTTGGCCCCATTTCCCTTGCAGCCTACTCTTCTTACACTGCAGTTTTCAACTCTGATTTTTTTGCTGGGAAACCATAGAAAGTCATTTTTTACTTTCTGAGTTGATTCAGAAGTTCCTCTGAACCACTCCTCTTCTCTAGGCGAGCAGCTAGCAACAGGTCTAAGGATATCTGTGTCTTGAAAAACTCTCTCCCACTTAGCAGCTGGTTGGCAAAGTGACTTAGGACCACAGTTATGGGCTGAGAGCCAACAAACACTTAATTGTGGGTAACCTCAGACAAGTCACTTAACCTCAGCTTGCTCATCTAAGAAAAGACACAACTCTACACATTCTTTGTTTTTCTTTTTGAGATAGGGTCTCACTCTCTTGCCCAGACTGGAATGCAGTGGCCGCATCTCAGCTCACTGCAACCTCCACTTCCCAGACTCAAGCTATTCTCCTGCCTCAGCCTCCCAAGAAGCTAGGACTACAGGCATGTGCCACCATGCCTGACTAATTTTTGCACAAGAGATGGGGTTTTACCATTTTGACCAGGCTGGTCTCAAACTCCTGACCTCAGGTGATCCACCCGCCTCTGCCTCCCAAAGTGCTGGGATTACAGGTGTGAGCCACCGTGCCTGGCCCTTTTTTTTTTTTTTTTTTTTTTTTTTTGAGACAGAGTCTTGCTCTGTTGCCCAGGCTGGAGTACAGTAGCACAAGGCTCACTGCAACCTCTGCCTCTGGGCTTCGAGTGATTCTCCTGCCTCAGCTTCCTGAATAGCTGGGACTACAGGCACCTGCCACTATGCCCAGCTAATTTTTGTATTTTTAGCAGAGACGAGGTTTCACTGTGTTGGCTAGGCTGGTCTTCAACTCCTGACCTCAAATGATCTCTCACTTTGGCCTCCCAAAGTGCTATGATTACAGGTGTGAGCCACTGCTCCCAGCCACACTTGTACACATTCTTCAGGACACACACTGAGGGTTTCAGAAGTCCTTACTCCAACTTCTTCCTGTGTCTGTGGGAATAGAATGAAGTAGTGAAGGAGAAGTTCTGCATGAGTCCCCAAATGCTATGGAATAATGATGAGCAGAGATTCCCTACCTAGGTACTAAGACCTACCTCTCCACTTTCTAAATAACAGGAAAATATACATCAGAAAACAAGAAAGACTGTGGCTTGGAAATTCTAAACCTTTGAAAGGGTACCCTGGAGGTGGGGGGAGAAAAACCTCCAGAAAAAGGCCAGTGAGTAGGGCAGGGAGGGGTCCAGGGTAAGCCGGAGGCAGTCCAATCAGCTCTAGTGCACCTGTTTACATGCCAGACTACAGGCCCAATATTCAGAGCTCCTGCTTTTTCCAGAGAAGCCACAAGTCCAGGTGCTTGGATATCTATTTCTGATGAAATTTCCTGGTTTTAAAATGTTGCCCATGAATTCAAAATGTTAGAAAACCACTAAGGGCCATATCAAATATGTCTAGGGGCCAAATCATCTGACTGCTCATTTGTGGCCTGTGATTCCCAGGTAAGGGAGCCTCCTCAGGCCCTGTCTGCCCTGCTATATGGGCTACAGCTGCCTGCACCACCTCCAGTGATGGCAATATCCATTCAAGTGCACTTCAGTGTGTATAGACTTTATCATAGTTAATCCTTACAATAGGAAAGCAAAGTTCAGAGAGGCTATCTGCATATGCAGCAATAAGTGGAAGCTTCAAGGCCAGAACCCAGGGCTTTCTGATTGCAAAGCCAGGTCTGATTCCTCTACATAGTCACTGGGACTGATCTCCAGGTTTCTTCAAAGTGAGACAGGAATAAAGGATGGAGGTGGTCTCAGACACTCACCTGTACACTCTAGGGTGGGTGGGAAACTAGTTACCTGTTTGCTCCTTGTCCTCTGGGGTCTCTTTGGCAGCACAGATGAAGTGTATGTCATTATTTTTGAGTCAGTCTTTCTAACTAGACTTTGAGCTCCTTGAGTATGGGCCCATATACATTCTCTGCATGTGAACCTCCAGGGAGCTCTTCCAGAGTAGATGTTTACTAAAAGATGGTTGAATGCAACTGAATTCAATACCGTGGGCCCAGATCTGCTCATGCAACTTAATATTCTCCTTAGAGGCTCTGGGTGTCTCTCTTTTCTGGGGACTGCTGGAGTCCTACCTCTTCTAGGATACCCAAAGCCCTGTTTCTCTTCCTATAAAATCACAACAGTTGTGGTCTCCATCTCTTTGACAATTAGCATTCAGTATTTAGAAGGTTCTCAAAATATTTTTATTGAAGTCAATAGCTATTCAGCTCCTAAGGTTCTATTTTGAATTTACATCTCGGTTTCCCAACCACAATACAAAGCAATTTGAGGGTAGGGTCCACGTTTTTCTCATTTTTCATCCCTCACAGCAAGCCCTTTGATACATTTGTGCCCTCTACAGATAAGAGGAACAATTGAAACCTGAAATCTAGTCCATCATTCCCTCACCAAACTCCTGTGCCAGCTTGGAGAGAAGGGTGCCTTTTTGTTAGTTAAACAGAGGTACCTTTATCATTCTTTCTAATTCCTTGTAATTTGCACAAAAGCACCGAATATATTAGTGGAGAACTCCCCAGCACAGTATCTGTGACATGAAAGATGCTCAGTATGTCTATCAGCTGAATTCATTCAACTCCACAAGTATCTACTGAGTGCCTCCTTTGTGTAAGGTTTCCCCAAGATTGAACTGTCCAGGAAAATGAGTGAAAGAAGTAACTTTACAGGACCCCAACAGCATATACACTCAGATTAGCCCATCCAGTAAGCTGGCTTCCCTTAATGTCTTCAATATTTTATTATAGATTCATGCTAGACATGCTCTGGAAACTTGCTTCTCTGGGCCTGGGACCAAAACCTGCAGGGCCAAGGCCTTCACATAACTGGAGTCTAAGAAGATAAGCAGGAAGGAGAAGCACAAGATGAAATGATACCCAGACATAGATGTAAAAAATGAGCTAGGACTAAAGTCCCAGGGCCTTGGCTGTGGCTTGAGCCTGGCCTCTGAGAGCCAAGATTCTGTCCCCAGCCTGCTCTGTCTTTAAATAACATTCCCTGGAGAGAGCCAGCAGTGGATGGGACACAAAGAGAGGTAGACAGAAAGAAGCTGTATTTGGTGTCCAGTGGAGAAGGGTGGAGGCCCTCAGGGAATGAGCAGGGAAAAAGAGAGAGAAAACAGTGTTGGAGTGTCACAGGCAAAGCAGGGTGATGTGAGCATTGGCCCTGAGAGTTCCTTGTACTATACTTGGTCAGCACCAACCCCTCCCCAATTCAGGTGTCAAAAATGCCCTCACCAGCCAACCAGTGGATGTTTTGCATTTTTGCCTCACTCATTTTGTTTTCAGAACTAACAATGATCTTAGATACCAGAGTCCCTCAGATTCCTCCATAGATGTCTCTATAGTAGGAGATCTAGGGATTTAGCCAGAGGCTAATACATTTCTACAAAGTTGCATGTTTTATATATAAAAATTAACATCACTGGGCACGGTGGCTTATGCCTGTAATCCCGGGAATTTGGGAGGCTTCAACAGACAGATTGCTTGAGGCCAGAAGTTCAAGACCAGTCAGGGACACATGGCAAAACCCCATCTCTGCAAAAAAACAAACAAACAAAAAACCCAGACACAGTGGCCCACACCTGTAGTCCCAGCTACTGGTAAGGTTGAGGTGGAGAATCACCTGAGCCCAGGAAGTTGAGGTTGCAATAATCTGTGACTGTACCCCATCCTGGATGACAGAGTGAGACTATGTCTAAAAAAAAAAAAAAAAACAACTTTTGCATTCTATAATATATTCACGCCTGTAATCCTAGCACTTTGGGAGGCCGAGGCGGGGGATCATCTGAGGTTGGGAGTTTGAGACTAGCCTGAACAACATGGAGAAATCCTGTCTCTACTAAAATACAAAATTAGCAGGGCATGGTGATGCATGCCTGTAATCCCAGCTACTCGAGGCTGAGGCAGGAGAATCACTTGAACCCAGGAGGTGGAGATTGTGGTAAGCTGAGATGGTGCCATTGCACTCCAACCTGGGCAACAAGAGTGAAACTCTGTCTCAAAAAAAGAAAAGAAAAAAAAAGAGAAACATTCTCTCCTAAAGTTTTTGAGTAAAATGGAAGTTCCTGGACGAAGTGGCAGGTTTATTTTATCACTCTATATTTATGCTCCACATCATTACCTCTACACTGCTGTGTACACCCAGGGTACACACACCCAAGTGTGAAGATATTGTTCATCATAAGCTTTCACCTTTGGAGCAGCAAGACCTCACCTCACATCCTAGTCTCTCCACTAACTGTCCACAGCCTACCTCTCAATTCAAGGCCCAGCTCCACTGTCACTTCAGCCATGAAGTCATCCCAGAATCTTCTCAGGCTAAAAATCATCTCTGCCTCTAAAAGAACATCCTCAGTTGTTGTTGTGTACAATATACTCTGGTCAAGTCTCACCTTGTTAGTCTTTTGTGCCTCTGGCTTGTCTTCCACACAACAGATCAGCTACTCAAGAAGAGGGTCTATGCCTGATTTCTCTCTGTCTACCATGGAAACTAACACCATATATCTATCAGGGACTCAATACATGCTGAACGTATCTTTGGAGTAATGATCACAATAATGAAGGGCAATGTCACATGGATGCCTGGTTAATGCAAACCTCTACTCTGTGGTGTATTTGTACTTGGCTATAACAGGTCTGTGGCTTAGGAATGGGGGATAGTATGAAGACTTTAGTGTCACAATGGCTCATTTTATAGCTGGAAATGACTCTGGTTCAGGCTTAAAGGATTTACCCAACAATAATGCAATAGCAATGAAAATGAATCATACCTTAATATTGTCTTCTGGCCAAGAGTTCAGCATTGTTGCAAGGTGGCCCTTGTCATGAATGGTGATGAACAGTCCACTAAAGGAAACAAAACATGTACACACAGAGAAACCAGGCAGTCAGACTAGGAACTGAGCAAAGTTCACAGTACTGGGTATTGCATTAATTAAATTTGCCCATAGACCTGGGCAAGAAAGATTCCTGCCCTAAGCCCCAACAGTTTAGAGGGTCATCCTCTGGCTTTCTTCCAAATTGCTTCTCTCCACAGGGCAAGGAGTCCATGGGGCCAAGGAATGTGCCTCCCTAGAGCCTGTGCTCCCCAGAGTCTGTGCCCTTCTTTCCTTCCTCTAGACCAGTACCCAGCATGCCAGAATTCCCTGACTGAATGGCCCCAAGGCTGATTCCAGGAACTGTCTGGGTCTCTTCTCCAGGTCCCTTCTCCCAAGTACAGACCACACTGCAGTGGCTGAATCCCTAGGGCTGGGGCTGTGACTGAAACTTGGAGATGTGGGTTGGGATGTTCAGATACATGTGCATGAGGTTCTTGCAGTAGGGGATGGAGCTGGGGATGGGAAGTCTTGAGCTACTCCATCATCATCATCACACACGCATGCGCGTGCATGCACACACACACATACACACACACACGAAGGCAATGAGGGTTGGCCAAGAGCAGACAGATACTGGAGGGAAATCAAGCTTTGAAAGCAGGAATTATACCTTTTGAGATTTGCAAGTTTGCAGCTTTTTGCCTGAAGGCAGTCCAATCTGCAGGCAACTTGGGGCAACAGAAGGCCAAAGTTTTAATAACTTGAGGTGTCAGATAATAGATTTCGAGCTAGAAGAGAAGCCAGGAAATGAAGAGGGAGTGGGTTCTGGAAGGGAATAAGCCGCAGAAAGAATAAACTCCCAAATCTACGCACATTATTGGCTGACCACTAAACTATGCATACAAAGGGGGATTGGCAAAAAATAAGTACAGCTGGAATCTGAAAAAACTGAGCAGAGATGTTAGTTATTGCTAATTAGGAAAGACAGAGTTGGGAATTTGAGTCCAGCCAAATCAACTCCCTCCTAAAACAAACATTACTCATCTAAGAAATAAAACAGAATCCAAAGTCTACAGAATCCAGGGTACAATGAAGGTCATTTTAATATTCTGACTACTTTACATATGTTAAAAATTTTCCATAATGAAAAATTAAAACAAAATAAAACAACTACAAAAACATCACCAAACCCAAAACTGTTCTTGACCTCCACATTTCCTGCCAGGACTGTTCTCTTTCACTCTCCTCCCTTCCATTGCCAGACTTCCTAAAAGCATCGCCTAGACTAGCTGCCTCCATTGGTTCATCTTCCATTCATTTCTCAACCCACTGCAGTATGTCTTGTCTCAACATGATGCTACCAAAACTGCTCTTGCAAAGGCTACCAGTGACCTTCGCATTCCTAAATGCAATGGACACTCACCAGCCCCCATTACCCTTGTCTTCTCAGTAGCATCTGACACTTTTCATCACTCCTCTACCAAACTTTTGGCTTCTGTGACTCCATTTTCTTTGAGTTTTCCTCCTTCTTCTCTGCTGCTCCTTCTCAGTCTCTTATATTGGATAATTCATCCAGCCATTATGCATTAAAGTTTTTCAAAAACTGTACTATCCCACTTTTTTTCTTACTCTTAATCTATTTGTGATCTTATCAATACCCAAGGTTTTTGGCCAATGACTCTCAAATATCTATACACCAGCATTTCTCACCTTTGGTACTTTTGACATTTTGGGTTGGATAATTTTTTGCTGTGCAGGGTGTGGTTGGTCTATTCATTGTAGGATGTTTCGGAACATTCTTGGCCTCTACCCTCCAGATGCCAATAGCACCTCTCACCACATTGTGACAACCAAGAATATCTCCAGACGTTGTCAAATGTCCCTTTGAGAAACACATTACCTCTGATTTTAGAGCCACTATAACAGACATTTTATTTAACTGCCTACCTGACATTTCCCTTTGCATATCTCAAAGGTACTTCAAACTTAGCATATACCAAACTAAATTTATCATCTAATCTTCCACCATTATGACTCAAAGACAAGACAAAACAAAGAAGGTACAACTGATTCTCTTTCCTTCTCCCTATCTCATTGAATATTACCCCTTACATATCTAATTTGACAATTCCAACCCCTTGAAATCATCCTTGATGTGCTCCTCTCTTCTTTTTTACAACTCATTGCCAAGTTCTTCATTGGTATGTTCTAAATAACTCCTGGCTCATATACTTCTTTCATCAGAAACACCACCTCCCTTGTCCGGCTTCCAATATCTGTTGCCTAAAGTGCCACAATAACTTGGTAACATCCACTCTTGCCTCTCTTCTATTTTCTATATGCTAGTGAGAGCAATGTTCTTGAAATCGATGACTCATTGATTTACTTCTTGTGCTAAAAATAGACTAAAGACCAAAGTCCTCAACATACCTACAGAGCCTTGTGTGGTCTGGCTCTTGCCAACTTTCCTTACTTCATTTTGTTCCACTCCGCTTCTTACTCTACACTCTTCAGCCACTCTGGCCTTTTTTCATTCCACCCCAGTGCTACTTTGAAACCATTTTTGCAAAGATTATGATAGTGAGGGAAATCTAGCATGGCTGACTTCATCTTGTTTTTAGCCTTACAGACAGGCTGTCCTTACTCATTACTGGGCATGGGCCAGGCTAACCATGGGAGAAATTTAGTTTCTAATTTAACTTGAAGCAAGAGTGATGATAGTCTCTTCCTAAAACCGATCCCTTCCTTGTTCAGTTTTGGGGGTGGAAACTGCCTTTGTAAGATGAATGAAAGATTAGGATTATGAAAAGGGCCTGACCTCTGCTAAAACACAGGCATAGTTTCTATAATCCCTTACTGCTCAGCAGCCATGTGGATAGAGGTCACAAGATTTTTTTACTTCCCTAGTTGCTCCTATAGCTAACATCACTATTGTAGAACCTGAGATTGGTCTTTTGAGATGTTTTTCAAATTTTTGCATTCTGGCAATCAACTGACTGCACCAACACCCATGACTCATGACTCAAGTGGTCCTGTGGCCCCTACCCAGAGGTGGGCTCAGTGCACAAGAACCATTTTCCACACTCTGATCATTTCATCCCCAACAAATCAGCAGTGCCCATTCCCTAGCCTCCTGACCACCAAATTATCTATAAAATCCCTAGCCTCTGAGTTCTCAGGAGGCTGACTCACTCTCTCCTCTTAGCTGCCTTGTGTTAATTAAACCCTTTCTTTATTGCAATACTATGGTCTTAGTGAATTGGGTTTGTCCATGGGCAGGAAGAACCCATTGGGCAATTACAAGTTCACATACAATTCTTTCTGCCTAATACACATGCTTCTCCTCATTCTTAATTCATACTCATGGTCTTGATAACTTCCAAGTCAAAGGAGAGGCTCCCTGTTATGCGCTCTCAAAGTATCCCATCCCTACCATCCCTGCATAAACAAACTTGTCACATTTATTTGTGTGGCTATCTCATTAATAATCCCCACCCCCCTCATTAGACTGTAAACTTCATGAGGGCAAAGTGTGCATCTAGTTTTGTTGTTATTGTTCACTACTGTATCCCTAAACTTAGTCCATAATAGATGCTCAATGCACAATTTTTGAATAAATGGAAAATGAATAAATGAATGATGATAATGATAGTTGGGGGATGAGGATAAAAAGTGTTGAATAAAGCTGGAAGAGAGCTGGAACAAAGGCAACTTGTGTGTGTGCTATGTTGTATCATGTTCAAGGGACCATGTGGGTTGTGCTGTTGCTTGTGGCTTAAAGCAGGAAAATGAGCACATGGAGACGGTAGATGAACCAGGAAAGAGGAAAACACCAGAGTTTAAGACTTGGGAGTGCAGGGCTCCATTCACCCCACAGAATTTAAGACTTGGGGAGTGCAGGGTGCCATTCACCACACTGAAGTAGGGCAGGGTTGGTATTTGAATTAACTTACTCATAACGTTTGAGAGCAATGTCCAGGTGAAGGATACCAGAATATACCATCCTAAAATGTGCCCTATATACCATCCTAAATGATATATACCATCCTAAAGAATATACCATCCTAAAATGATCTATAGGTCAAACGATAGATCATTTTGAGCTAAAGACCATTTAAAATAAACAGAGGCAGGAAATCCTCTAAAAACACAGCACAAGTTTTCTTTTTGTAAAGGAAATTTACTTTTATAAAGGAAATTTCCAGTTGCAGAGATGTCTCCTTCTCCCTTACGAGGAAGAGGAGGTCTCTTAACAACTCTTATCAATGGAGAAGGCAAACAAAGGGGTAAGATCCATGTACTATTTTAGACCTTACCAAAGCTCTGGTGTGGTTAATTAAACACGGGATAGGTGTGATTACTTAAATTATCTGTGTACATTAAAATAGACCCTTTTTTGTTTAAAATAAAAAGGAGAGGGAGGAGTGACACTTAAAATGAATATTTTTATGTTTAAATTTGAAAAACTAAAATTTCAAAGGACTTATTTTATTTTTCTACATAATTTCATGCTCTGCACTGCAAAAATAACATCTTTTGAAAGGCATTAACGGCTTTTAACCACTTCTCAAAGTATTTGTCCATGTATTGCCTAAACTGCAGCCAGCTACCAAGGATCATGAAAGGATTGCCCTGGGTGGGGGTTTTGAAATGTCTAGCCCAAATATTTTATTTTATAAATAAGGACATCAAAATCTAGAGAGGTGAAATGACTTGTCCAAGGTCACACAGCTTATAAGCAGCTGGGTCTGCTTGAACCAGGATTCTGAGTCCAGTGCTCTTTCCACTAATGCAGAATGCTGGTTTTCTCAAGGATCTAGTTCTTAACAGACACCTAGAGGTGTGAAGTGTACGAAACAGAAATGCATATTGCGGTCCCTAATAAAATAGTTTTCTTTGATGTACATTGAGGAAGTAAAATATGCAGTGCTAGGGATTATGATGATAAGCAAATGTATTTCAGGTCCCATCAAGAACCGTGCCCATCTTTTTATTTCCTGGCAGTACTGCATCTAAAGCAGCTCAAAG